TCTAAGTGGTTATTATTATTCATTCATTCAGCAGCCAGGTTTGCAAGGGCAGCAAACACTACTAGTTTGGCAGTGCATTACTAAGTTTAATGCACATCAATGTATTTTACACTCACGCTAAATCTGCTTTTAAACATGACATAGTAATTCAAGATCACCTATTGAGAGAGAGGCCTCATCAAGGAATTGGAATCAGTGGAAAAATGTTCTACTTGTGTCATTATGGCCAAGCTGGAGTCAACAGAAAAGCAGCAGGTATCCTGAATTAAGCCCTGCAGGAGACTGTTCACTTTTGTAGCTTGTGGGTAAGATTTAGTTTAAGTGAATGTGTTAATTGTACTGCTTACGAAAGTCAGAGGCAGGTAGCAGCAAGTTTTGCTGAAGTATGAATTAGATAATATTTGTTTCCAATCCCTTGTACAGCTTTACAGGTCCAAAATGCAGCACTGTCTGCTGGTCCATCATGTATTTCTTCTGATTCACTTTGGCCTTTGCTTATACATCCTCTGTGTTGCTGCAGCCAGGCATCTCATGAGTAATGCCCAATCATTTCCTCCATTTGATACAAGGGCAAAGTTGCATCATAGCCCAAACTTTATTACAAATCTTGAAACAGGTAGGCTTGTTTCATTCGAGGGAACTTACTGTGAAGTAGCCTACCTATGTTTCCAAGGGGTCCTCCAAATCTCTTGTTGCTGTAGTTCTCTTGCCTTTGTAATGTAATTCTTAAAATCTGACCACAATATGCTCAGCTTCATGGAAAGCTGACAGACAGTCTAGGATAAATTATCTTGCTTGTTCCAACTCTTGTTAAAAGAAAGGAGAGAAGGATTTTGTCAAGCCCAGTCATCAGCATCTGTAAAATAAATCCATGTAGAGAGTTTGAGGTCAAGTCTTTTTTACTGCTTTCCTAAATGATATGAGAAATTCTTGGTTTTCAAACTGTTTTTCTTCTGACAGACTATATGTGCCTGAAGTCTATCATTGTTTGCTATATGGTCTATAATTTTATTGTTGTCTGTAACACTCACTGACTCCTTTTCTTTTTCCTTAACTGTACAGCATGAATTTTTTTGCAAGTCCTGGTGCCAGATCAAGAGTAGAAGTGAAGTTAGAAGTGATATTAATGTCCTTTTACAGTATCTACCTATGGAAGAATATTAAAATATGTTAATATTTCAGTCGTATTTCACCTGAAAGATTCTGGATTTTCTCTGATATTGCTCTGAAGCAAATGGCAGGGTCTCACCAGATTGCCTGTTATCACCAACATTCTCTGAAAAATAAGCTAGGCTTAACATGATCAGTTTTTCTGCAGTTAGTGTTGCTTTCTGGAAGAAATATTCTGAACAGAGATGATACTGCTTTCCACCAGAACTATTTCAAGCTGATTCAGTTTTCATTCTCTGTAGTCTTCCTTCTCCTTTTTGCCTCCTTCCTGTCACAATGGAAGTACACTTTATTCTCTCCTACCTTAAAAGAATCTGTCTTGATTCCAGGACTCCTGAGTGTTTTTAATTGCTGTCCAATCTTCCGTTTTTATTTTCTTTTCACTCTCTATGCAGACTATCCTATGAACTCCTCCACCAGCTCCATTCCATCCCATTTCAGACTTGCTTTCCTTTCACTATGATTATTGAGATTTGTTTTGCCAAAGCTTAACTTTTTGTGAGCAGATTCCAGATTCATTGCCACACTCTCAACATTGTTGCCCTTTAACTGCATTAAGCTCAAGCAGCTGTTCTCTCTGAGAAGTCTACTCCACATTTAACCTTCATGACCATCTTTTCCAAGTTTTCATACCTCTTCCCTTCCTCTTTCAAAATACTCTACATAAAAGTTTTCCTTCTTCCCCTTTCTGATGGGAGCTTTGTGCTTGGTTTCCTTTTCTGTGTATAGCTTATTTCTGGGGAATCTTATGCACACATGGAAGTTACTAGGCGAATTTTTTTGCTGAAAGAGCTGTAGGTCTACTGTGCACAAGAACTGTCTCTTTAGAAAATAAATCTTGACCTGTTCCCTTGGTCACACATTCACAGCTGTCTAGGCAAAAACTCAGTTCAGCACAGAGAGGAGAGCTGCTCTTTACCTTTTTCTTAACCTCTGGAAAGAAAACTGACGTTCTGTCATTCAGATCAATTCCTAAGACATCATTTCTGATATAGTCTTTTATTCAGGTCTTCCCATTCCCTTCATCTCAATCTTGCAGGCTATTTGTATCATAGCTCTAGGATACAGCCTGTCATGTCCAACCAGATTGAAGCTCATTTCGTCCCTTCGACTGATTCTCAGATACCCGTTTCTATTGCTCATTGACTTACCCTGTCAGTAAGTACGTTCATGCTTTCTTTCAGGATCTTCCTGTAAATGTCTGCAACTGTTTTTACCCAGTGCTGCCTATTAAAACAGCTGTTTTCCGTGCCTGGGAAAGGTAGCGAGTACTAGGGTAGTATATGGTCAGTTCCTCTCCTGCAGACAATTTTGTCTGTGCATTTCACTGTTTCCTTTCCTGTCTCTGTCAGGCTGTTCTCTCTCGTTCTTCTATGCCAAGCTGTCTTGGATACACTTTTTCTAGTGTCCTTGTTCAGCCTCTGATACGATGACTCAGTTATCACGGTGAAATACAAGCTTCTATCTCAGCAACTTTCTTCTGTCCCGTTTGGTTGTGATATCAGAGGGACAGATGCCAGTGTCAGAAATGCAGAGATACAGCTGATTCCCACCAGGACAGTATTCAGTACAAGGGCTGCAGCCCAGAGTGGACAAGCACTGCTAGAGGTAACCACCAAGGGAAGACAACTGGTTATTTAAGGCTTTGGTCCTTTTTTAGGGCTGCCTCCCAGGATCAGTAGTTCACAATGAACAAGCAGAAAAGAGACATCTTAAAGGTTCCCTAGGAAGTTTCCCTCAGGGTATGAAGGTTTCAGCAGCCTGGGTACGATGGCAAGCCTGTGCTGGAACTGTCATCAACCTATTTAGTCTCTTGGTGGTCAGGACCGGACCCTAAAAGGAAACAAAAAGGAGCTCTCCAGAGAAGGCTCACTTGAGTGCCCCACCTATAGCGAACTTACTTCCAGGCTAAAGGACACATCATAATGAATTGATTACTGTAGTTGCACTCCTGCCTTTTTCTAAGTAGAGTAAAAAAGGTTCCATTTTATGTCCTCTGCCTTATGTGTTAAAAGCTAATGGAGGTTCTTACATCAGTCAAGTGGCAAGAACTTTGCCTGTGGAACAGGAAGATCTAAATTCTTTTCTTGCTTGTGCAGCAGTTACAACACCCTGGATAAACATCCAAATGAGTACAGAGGTTACACAGTTTAACCTAGAACCTCTGACTGGATAAGCATGTTTTGTAACTTTAAAAAAACCTAGTATCTGGAATGAGATATTGTAATTGTTATTTAAAAAGAGGGGGGAAATGACAGTCTTTAATATGCTTAATTGTTGGTTTTTCAATTCTGAGTAAATCTTCATTTTTTTATGGAATAAAGAAAAACTGTGATTATTCAAAGGACAAAAGTAATGCAAGACGTAATACTGTTTAAATCAAACCAGAAGTTAAAACAGAACTCTTAAAATACCTGTGGTGACAATATTGAGCAGGAAGCCAGTCTTCTCAGTCATTTCATAGCCGATAAGCAAAATCAACTTAATTATTAGTGCTGGTAGGGCATAAAGTACATTCAGTAATGTAGCGGGATACAATTTAAAATAAAATAATGAAGATAAGATTTCCTGGTGCATAAAAGAGCTTTATTTCTACAAGTAAAAGTGAATACTGTCATTATTTTAAATATAGAATACCCTACAATGGACTAATGAGATAATTGGATAATTTGAAGCAATAATATTGCAGGTTTAAAGCATTGCTAGCTTTTCTCAGTAGTTTGGTATCTTTCTTTTTTCCTTGCTCTGTTCTAATGGAGTGATTTAAAGATCTATATAGTTCTAGTTTCAGTCCTTTTGTTTCCTTCTTTGTTTCCGTTAGGTTCAGATGGAGTTTCGGAAAAGCTGGGAGCGCTGGAGATTGGAACATTTGTATGTCCAGAGAGACAGCAGTATGAAACCTCTGAAGTGTCCGGCCAACAGCATCAGTAGCGCAGGCACGGTAGGCAGTAGTGTCTACGCTGCCACTTGTCAGGCCACATTCAGCTAAGAATCCTGCAGGTGAATCAGACTGAGAACAATTAACTGTATAATATACCCGAAAACCCTTAAATACCCAAGCAAGTGGCTTAAGTATGCCATCTCCAGCAAGAAACTTCAGAATATGCTGCTCATTGCCTGCAGGCTGTTGGACCAAGGTTTCTAGGGAAAGCATTCTGCTAATGTAATCAACACATCAGAGGAAAAATTGATCACGTCTAAAGTTAAGAGTTTCTTCCTGTTTGCACACAAGGCCTCCAGGTGTCCAAAACTTGAGCATAGCATTGATCCAGTCTGAAATCACGGGGTCAATGGCTTATTACTGTTGAGTGGGCAAAGTGAGTGATGGACTGATTAAATTACAAGGATACAAATATGATTATTGTCAAAAAATACATTTAGACTTTTATGGGGCTACAGTAAGGTGCTATCACCAGTTTTAGAAAAAAAAAATAACTTAGTGGGACACAACTTGTGTTTTAGGAAAGAATCAATTTTGTAGTAAGAGTTTCCCAAAGCTAAAGTTGAAAATATGCCTACTTGCTTTCTGGGTAGGTGAAGAACGGCATCCTGAAGGTCTATCAATACAGCAGGTGCGTGGTGTACATTTCCGAATGCTCTTTTTAAGCTTCACTTGGAGAAAAAAAAAGCGCCTACCAGTATCTGGTAGGGGCCTCTTCTGCTGTTAATGGGTGCATGTTATCTGTCGACACTGATGGAAATGTCTCCTGAATGCGCGGTTTCTATGTGGTATGCTGCCCTGGTAGCTGGCACACAGGTGTTAACAGGGACAGGACAACGACTTGTGCTTCAAGAGGATGTTTTCTTTCTAAGCTATGCTCTGCTTCTTGTGGGTGCAGACCCACAGAAGTCAGCTTGTGGCCACAGATGGTCTTACCAGACTTCACCTACTGGGAAAAGGTTCGGTGCTTCCCCGTGTGGGCTCACTTTTCTTTCTCCTCCAGACAAGAGACACCGGCCAGGTGCTGCTCGCACGTTGGCGGGAGGGCGGCTTCCGAGCAGCACTCAGCATGGAGAAACAGCTCCTGGTCCCTGCCCCGTCCTCCTCCTCTTCCTCCTCCTCCTCCTCCACCACCTGCCTGCCATCAGTGGGATTTAAAAAAATCCACCCTCTCCAGAAACGCTCTCCCAAACTCAACGGGCTTTCTGCCTGTTCGTTTAAAACTGCGCAGGCTCTCGCAAGTGAGAGCATCTACGCTGCTAATTATGTGACCCTCCCTGGTGTAAACAGGAGTTGCTGGGGAGAAACAGAGGTACCTTCACAAGCAGGACGTGATCCATTGAATCGCTTAAGACACGTAAAGCTTGTTATTTGCTCGGCTTAGTTATTCGGGCTCCCTTGACAACAAAGAGGTAAGGTGCCAAAGACTAGCTCTGAGAATATCCCCGTCCCTAATAGCTGCCTTGTACTGAGTAACTTCCATGGCATATAGACAAAGTCAGAGAGAAAAAACAAAAACATTTTCAAGTCTCTCTTTGCACCTGCATTCGCATGCCCCATTGCCAAGAAAGTGGACTGGATATTCTGGGATGTAATTCAGCATCTTTCCCGCCTGAAGCTAGATTGCTTTGCATGGGATTATTTAATCATTGTATTAGAATCCAAATTGCCAACAGGGTGGATTAGTTTTACAATCGTCAGGTCAGAATTGAATTAGAGAGGATGGGTTAGCTGCTTCTGCTATAATGCTTGTAACTGAGCTCCAGGGGGGGGAAGTCAGACATATTTGTAGAAATCCACCACAGGTCTCAGGCTGGCTTTTGTACGTCTAGCATGCTGGCTCCTACGCGGGCCGTTTCCAGGCCATCCCTTCCTAACATCCGTTGCAGAGCTGACCTTGGAATGAAGCACCTCAGGTTCTTCTGTAAATTTAATAACTAGCTTCTCTGTTGTGTGACCATCAATACAACACCTGACTACTGCATATGTGTGTTAACTGCTGTCCTGCAATTTAATTAATTAGCTGCCTGTACGTAGAGAGTAAGCTTGATGTTTCTGTTTAATGTCGACCCTTAAGAGCTTTGAATAGGAAAAAACTGATAAAGTCAGTCATTGGAAGGCCAAAAGGCAGCATGATGACGGATGAAATTCACAGCTGGAGGGAATAATTTCACTCATGAATATTCAAGAGTGGGTGCTAGTTTTCCAGGGCCCTGCTTAGTTGTGTGCAAGCCCGGAAAAAAGTTTCTGCAACTTGCACAGCTGTTAGCAAGAGGATAGTTTTGCTGTGACAACAGGAAGTTATGGAAGTGTTTTAACTCATTATTATGCAGAAAAAAAGTACATGTAACAAATGAAACAGGACAGACATAGGAATCGAGAGTATTTACTTGTGTGGTAACAAACACAAAACATTTAGTTGCCATCACAAGATTCTTTCAAGAGTTTGACATGCTTTAGAGTTACGAGGCTCTTTTTACCCCTCCTGGTCACTGAAGAACTGAGGGCTTGGGGCCCACGAGAATAGCTCCAGCACCAGATGTCAAACTTACCTTTGTTAACTTCTCCCTTGGTAGAATCCAGGAGAAAAATAGGATGACAAGGTCTTAGCCAAGCAGAGGGTTGTGGTGGAACAACTCAGTGAAAGTAATTGCCACCAAATCAGAATTACAGTAATCATGTATTTTGAAAAATACTTTCAGCTAAGGCCTAAACACCAATTTCTCCATCACACTTTATCTACTTCAGTAAAACCTTTTACAAGCCTTTGTTGTTATTCGTGCCATCTCTACTTCAGAATTTATAATGTGCATTTATTTGAGTAGTATGAAATAAGCACAGCAACACAAAGCACTGGAACAGGTGAACTGTATGAATTTTTATTTCTTGTGCCTTTCAGCTTCATGCTCCCTTATTGCAGTAACTTGTTTCATGAAGCATTAAATAGAAGAGTCTATAAATTCACCTGGACATAACATAACTAGAGTTTATAGCAAAGGAAAACTTTATTTCCAGCATTGCTGCTATAAAATTTTATTTCATGGATGTTACCTTTATATTTATTTGCATGTATTTCCTTGTTTTAAAAAACACCCACAGAATCTAACTGTACAAGATGTCAGATTATCAACTCCCCATAAATATTACACTTCTGTTTATTTTTCTCCTTGTGAATAAAGTTTCAGCTCACAAACTTCTGGTGTATTTACTTTCAGTATCACCTGACTACTTCTTACTCCGTAATTAGAAGAACACTTTCTAAGAATGGAAAGACTCACCCTGTATAGTGTCAGAAGGAATCAGAATAGTGAGAACTCTGAGGGTTTTTTACCAGAGGATGGCAGAATATGTGCAAATCCAAAAATTCTGTGCTTGGCTTCAAATCACAGCATTTGGAATTTATACAAGAGACTAATACTGGAAGCTAAAAGAGTTTTGTGGAGAGCTACTGAGATATGCTTAGCAGTGTTAAACGTATTACTTATACTTTAAACTACTATTCTCTTTCCAGTCCAATTAAATTCAATAAAGGACACTTCCTTTTGTTTTCCCAACCAATGATGGAAAATGGGGGAAAGTCAAGCCTGAACACTGTGCGTAACTTAAATTAGAAAATGCATAATGAAACACGATTTGAAAGACCAATTCATGACTTTTCTTCTTAACTCAGTCCTCATAGGTGTAAGCTCTACCATAGAATGATAGAATGCTTTGGGTTGGATGGGATCTTAAAGATCATCTAGTTCCAACCCCCACTGCCATGGATAGGGACACCTTCCCCTAGATGAGGTTGCTCAAAGCCTCATTTAACCTAGCCTTGAGCACTCCCAGAGATGGGGCATCCACAGCTTCTCTGGGCAGCCTGTTCCAGTGCCTCACCACCTGCACAGTGAAGAATTTCTTCCTTCAATCTGATCTAAATCTGCCCTCTTTCAGTTTAAATCCACTGCCCCTTGTCCTATCACTACATGTCCCTCTCCAGCTTTCTTGCAGGCCCCCTTTAGGTACCGGAAGGCTGCTAGAAGGTCTCCCCAAAGCCTTCTCTTCTCCAGCCTGAACAACCCCAACTCTCTCATCCTGTCCTCATAGGAGAGATGCTCCAAACCTTGGATCGTCCTCATAGGAGAGATGCTCCAAACCTTGGATCATCTTCATGGCCCTTCTCTGAACCCACTCCAACAGCTTCATGTCTTTCTTGTGTGGACAATTCCAGAGCTGAATGCAGAGGGGCTGAATCCCCTCCCTCAACCTGCTGGCCATGCTTTTTTGGATGCAGCCCAGGATACGGTTGGCTCTCTGAGCTCCAAGCGCACATTGCTGGCTCATGTTGAGCTTCTCATCAACATCCCCAAGTCCTTCTCCTCAGAGCTGCTCTCAATCTGTCTCTGTCCAGACTTTATTTGTGCTTAGATTAGTGCCAGCTGCTCTTCCCTATGACTTAATGACATGTTTTAATTCAATGATCTACATATGAAAAATAGCACTGGATCATACAAGAAGCACACCTGACAGTCTGTGGGATGATGACGATGGGAAGCATCATCAGCTGTGGTAAGAGGACTGAATCCAATGACAGGGCAAACCCTCTTCTGTCTGAGGGCATCTCACATTTCCACATCTGCTGCACCCTCACCCTAATTTTTTTCAAAACGATGCTTAAAAAAACCCACATACGTTGCCTGCCAGGAATAATCATAAGTCTTTTTTTCTTACATTACAAAGGATGAAAGCTGTAATGTGAAGCAAACAGGGAATTTGAATTAAAATCAGATTTTGTTTTAGATGAAAGACATGCGTGCGAACAGAAGCAGCTGCCTAGTTTAGGTATATTGACAGTGCCTCATGTCCCTCCTTCAGAAAGAGGATTCTAGCCCGTGTTGGGAAGAAAAGCAGTCGGCCATTGTGCTACAGGTGCCGTCAAACCCCAGCCTCCCTGTTAGCAGTGGCGAAGGTCCTCA